GTGTCTGTTTCACCTTGTCATGGAAGTCCACCTCTACGCCCTTCTTGATGCAGATTCTGACTAGATTCAAGGCACCTGGCTTTACGCGTGCAGCAGCAAAAAAAAGTACTGTCTGCTTCAGGCGTGGATCCAGCAAGGAGATGTCCATGTCCTCGAGCGTCTGCCGGGCCATGTCGAATTGTGCATCTCGCACGATGTCGAAACGATGAGTGACTTCCCAGGCTTCAGCCATCTCGGCGCCCGGGAAGTTTGTGGATTGCCTTGGGCAAAGGTCTAGGTGCCTGAGAGCCAACAAAAGCGATACCACAGAGCAGAGTGATCAATGCTAAACGCGCATCACGCTGTCCCATGAAGCTTTCATTGCCCTGTACAACAGGCGGACAACACAAACAGTCTGTTCATAGCAGAGAAGACAAGCCAGCGTTCCACTGTTCCCTACTAGCCACTCCAAATCCCAAATGCTGCTGTAGATTCCCTTTCTTATCCCTTCCTTTCTTTACGGCTAACTATCTGTGAGCATGCCCCTGATTGAGCGCCGGGCTGTGGTGGCCTTGGCATCCCATGTTGCCATCGGTGCAACCTCATCCCATGCTCCCAATGGGAGTATCCAAAAATTGGGGGTGTGTTCCTTCTTCGAGGGTTCACACAATGAAGATTCAAATGTTCGTGCATTTCAGGAAAATACCTGTTATATACCGATCCAGCACCCAGGCTTCCAAAGAAGGCCATGACTACAGTAGTAGTACAGCGTCGACCTAGTATCTTGCAAAGGTCCATCAGGCTTCAAATGATATCTGCTTCAGAAGAATGGGAAGACGAAAGAAGACGATGGACAAGTTCCATCAACGCCCCCTGCTTAGGCGTCACGCGCCCTAAACCTCGTAAACATTAGTTTCCATTTTGTTCTCCATTATCTTATAGAAACCCATAATATAACCCCTATAAACCCCTATAAACCCCTATATCCCCCTTAAACCCTATATCATATATCAGAAAGCCGGCGAGCTTGGCATCCGGCAGCCTTCCCGGTGTTGGTGAAGGATTCAATGCTGCCCACAGGGGTCTGAACCCTTGGCATGGCCAACATGTGATTGTACCTGTCAGGGAGTTGTCGGTTGTACCCTTAGGGTTTGTACCCTTAGGTTTTAAATATGGCCCTTAATACAGGGTAGTGGGGACCCAAAACCTAAACAATTGGGGAAGAATATTTTCCCCAATTGTTTAATACAGGGTATTTGCGAACCACAACCTGAGGTTACAAACATTCCGGGTACAAACTTAAAGTCCTTGTACCTGGCGAGCAGCCCAAGGCCGCCATGTAACTGGAACTTATATCGCAGTCATAAATCATAGGGGTAATAAAGGGGTTACATAGGGGTTATATAGGCGTTACATAGCGATTAATGGAAGAATAAAATGGAAACTGCTATACTAGAGTAGGGTATACATCCTGCAGTATCATATGGCAATATCCCTGAACCCTATAGATCCCCAAAACGAAGCCTGATTGAATATGATGGCTTCCATTTGTCCATTAAACTATTCCTACTGCCACATGAGCGATAGTCTGAACTCCTAGTATCCCCCTTAATAACCCTTATAGTAGTCCCCTATAGTATCCCCTATATAACCCCCTTTAAGGAGGTGTAGATTATGTCTCACATGATATCCGGGGCTCAACCAGGCCCAGGCCTAGTCTGGGCAATGCCTCAACCTCTGTAAACATGCGGCGTATTCAGTGTGCGTGTGTTTAGGGCTTAGGGGTTTAGGGTTTAGGGTTTAGGGATGTCACTTAAAGCGTTGTGGGCCGTGACAACATGTCAACACGTACGCGACGGAGATAGGTGCATGCATACATACATACATACATACATACATGCATGCAGGCATGCA